GGTTAACAGGCCGTCTCTATAAACTGTGCAAGTAAAACACGGAGATGTACACATGCTACTCCAAAGGACTTAATGTGTTAAAAGTTATAGTTAGCAGTGATTTTATTGTGGTAATTCCTTCAGAAATGTTCCAAAATGTACCACCAGTGCTGAGGCTTATAATGCATCGCTTGCCTAAAACTGCCTGTTTGGGAACGTGTAAATCACAGGAGCCACACCATATACGTTAAAACTAAAATAATAATAATATTGATAATAATCACCACACAGCTGTTATGAAAGTGCTAACTATTCATAGAGGTTCAGGATGTAAACCGTATGCCGTTTACCCTGTAAAACTGTTAAATTTTAACAAGTGGCCGCTAGAAAAACAGCTGTTTTTGGCACTTCCCCATTGGTTTCATTTTGTAGTTCTGGAGGCTGCTTCTTACCTTAAACTAAGCTCTATGGATAATTTTTTTTTTTTAGAATAAAACATAAAGATCAGGAATAGTGAGAATTCTTTAAAAAAAACATTAAAACATTAAAAAAGTAAAAAAAAACATTAAACACTGTGTGTAAATGGCGATACAGCATGTGCACCCATAAAACAAATGGCAGAGTTGAACTTTTATCATCTAGAAATCTTTGCATTTACATGTTTGTGGCCCTTATGTTGCGTAATGTTTTCAGACATAGTTCTTTTATTTTGCTTACAATTCAGTATCTAAAACGCAGTAGCCATTAAATGATAGTGAATACAAATTTTCCATGTGGTGGTGTTTACCTGGAATTGTACACATACTTCCTGATATGTGTGTTCAAGTATAACATTCAACCACTAAAATTACTTGTTCAGGATTGCAAGTAAATAACTGTAATTTGGCATCTTAATCAAAAAACGATCCTGTGTTTTATTATTATTTTTCAGCCTTTTTTTGTAAAATGGTAAATCTGAAAATTTGCAAATTACAATATTTGTATTTTGCTGTTAAAAATATAATTTCAGTTAGAGAGTGTGCGCTTATCGGTGGATTAACCATTACAGGAACATAAACAATATTTTTGGTAATTACCAATACTGTTAATTTAGGACAGCTGTGGCATAAGCCTTACTTTGGGTGGTGTTCTTTCTAATATCTGTAGATCTGTGGTTTACAGTACTGTGCTTACTCACATTTCAACCTGTCTGTTGTGTCACATTAATTTTGTTCAAGCTAAATGTCTGAAAACCTGAAAGACTTTGTAAAAATAAAAGACCTGGACCAGTGTAATTTCACAGCTGGTACATCCCCAAAAGAGTTGAAATAATCTACATGGGACGTCTACAGTGTCATTTAGTTTCTTGGATCACGGTGCTCATGTCTCACTGCTATTGAACGGAAACACATCTAGCAGGGAGACCCAGCTTTTTATAGATTAACTGAAAAATGTTGTCTTTTCACTCTCGTGTTGCTTTTTGACTCTTTAATTCATCTTCATGTCACTACATGCTTGCAGCTGATCCAGATTATACCTGTGGAGGGGATGTGCATACTGATTTCCCCCCCTCCCTCCCTTTCTGTCTGCACACTCTCATCCCAGATTTGTGAGTGGCATGTGTCCCTCCATCTGGCACTCACATGCATTGCATACGGACATTGCATAATGGCCCGGGCCTTAGTAATGCAGCACCCCAGCACTACTCGAGCATGTGAGGAAGTGACAAGGGGCAGAGAAACAAACTGCTTATGTAAAAGCATTAAGAAGACCAAGCAGCTCCAGCCGTATTTGTTCACCCCGTGGGAAGATGAGGGGGAAAAAACAGAACTCATTCTCATTAAAAAGTAAAAAAAACATGCAGTGACAAAGGAATTAGCTGGAACCATGACTTACTCTCCCACTTTTTAAAAACTAAAGCGCGTGAGCTGCGTGTGTGGTGCAGTGTGCATTCTCAGGTTAATTCAGATGCATTATAGATTGATAATATTTGACAGATAAAGAACTTGGTTAGAATTTTACTGCTGAAAAAATACATTTTGAAATAAACTTCAGTATATATTTCCTTTGTGGATATGGATACAGTTCCAAGGGATTATTTTAACTTGAACAAGATGCCATCCATCCGTGTTCTCATCCTGGTCTGAGTTGTGTGGGCATCAGTCTAAGCATGATCAGGCATTTCTTTCCCTAACACTACCCCCTTAGTCTTCCTTGAGGGTTACTGAGGAATTCCAAAGCCAGCTGAGAGATAATCTCTCCAGCCCGCCCTAGGTCTGCCTTCAGGGCTCCTCCAAATTAGACGTGCTTGAAATATCTTTCCCAGAATGCATTCAGAGGAATCCTGGTGAGATGCCTGAACCAACTCAGCTGGCTTCTTTCCATGTGGAGGAGAAACAGCACTCCTCTGAGCCCCTCCACCCTTGTGAGGAAAATACTTTCTGTCTTATGGTTATTATCCCCTTCTCCAGGTCATAGCTGAGAACAGGAACGTATATGAACCAGGAAATAGACAGCTTCATCATGGTCACAATGAATACATCCGATTAGAGCACAGGTGTTGAACTCCAGGCCTCGAGGGCCGGTGTTCTGCAGGTTTTAGACGTGTCCTTGATCTAACACAGCTGATTTAAAGGCTAAATTACCTCCTCAACATGTCTTGAAGTTCTCCAGAGGCCTGGTAATGAACTAATCATTTGTTTCAGGTGTGTTGACCCAGGGTGAGATCTAAAACCTGCAGGACACCGGCCCTCGAGGCCTGGAGTTTGACACCCCTGGATTAGAGTTTTCCACGTTTTCTATACAAATGCCAAACCCTAACTGACAAAATTCTCATATGTTTCAATTCAAAGCTTACAGGCTGTATATAAATACTTAGTGGTTTCTGGACTTCATATTTTAAAGTGACAGTATTAGTGTTTTGGCTGCTGCCATTTTGTTTTGTTGGAGCCAGAAGGACCGAGAGTGTGTGGGTGTTTAAGTGATCAACCAAAGGCTAGCAGGCTTGGTCATTAGCCATAAATTAAACGGTTGTCACTCACACAAAATTCATATCTGCTCATTTTTGCAACTTCATTATGCTCCAAAAGGCACCAACAGCGCAAACGCGGTGTAGACGCTCAATTCGGTGGAGGTGATGCTTGGCAGACAGCAGTTGGCTGTGTGTCTTTGCACATCTGCCAAAACATCCCAATAGCATCACTTTAAACATGATCCCTATCCAGGCAGGTGAGTTATTTAAAAAAAACAAACACACACACACATAGAAAAACTGTCTTACCTGGCTTTAAAGTTTGACATTTTAACATGCAAGTCTGTGGGGGGTTGACTTGCTTTAAACAGCTGCTGGAGGAACTGGACTTTTTGGCACTTCCACCTTTTATTATCAGGTTACAGTTAGCACGGAGCTCCTCAAATCATCCATCATTTGTTTATTTAAACTGTTAAACTTTGATTTCACAGGCTTTATTTCACAAACTGTTACCTGCAGTATTTTCAGCACCATTATGCTGGTAGGTATCTGGCCAAAAAATAGTTTGCTACGTAACTCTCTTTCTAACCAGTCATCATTGTCCATGTGCCAGGTGTGCACAGGTGTGATTGCTTGTTTAGTTTTTTCACGTTAGCACATGTGTTAGTCATAAGTACGCACGCACACTCTTCAGTGTGGATTGGATCAGTGTTCCCTGTGAGATTACTGTAAAGTGTTGGATTATGATAAAAACGACTGTCACTCTGCTCTGTAAACTTTGCCCTCGGTCCAGCCAATGCTCTTAATCTGTGGCTCATCAGACAAAAACAGACATACAGGGTGAACTCAAAAGAAACCCCTCTCCTCATTTTTTTCCCTCCTCTCCCCGCATGTTGCCGTTATCCAGTGTTTTTAAAAATAGTCTTGCTATTTCTGTGTCTCCCCTGCTGCGCTCCTGGCATTTTTTGCTCCCCCCTCTTGTAGTGCTGAGGGATTTTTCCTGCTCAGTGAAATCTGCAGCAGCTCTCATGGCACGACTATCCAGAGCCGTAATCCAGACATACAAGCAGCTTGAATATAAATTCTCTCCAGAGTTTGCATTGGCTGGCAGCTCATCAAGAGGCCACAAAGATTTATTTATTTATTTCAAACCTCTCAGGACATGGCAGCCTGCTGTCATCTGGTGACTCGGGGATGGCAAGATACATTTAATCTGCGTGCTGCCGTCGCATGCGTGCCGAGGGTTTATATCAAAGTGGGAGGGAGGAGAGGGATGCATGCAGGGAAGAGTTGGGCATGGATTATTGAAGTTTACTAATGGGACTGAATGGTTGTGAAACCATTGTTAAACAATTATTCATCCACAAATTCAGAATACTGAGGATGAAATCACATTTTTGAGAAATGAGTTGCAGACTGCAAGTCGAGGCATTATCTGACTCTTGGGTCCTGTCTTGCACCTTTCACCTTGTGAAAGTCTGTCATTTTGGTTTGTGGAAACTTGTTGTGCAGCCAGCCAATCAGAAAAGAAAAATTCTACTGGGTCAGATGAAGGTGTGAATTTGGGCTTGGAAGACACACACACACACACACACACACACACACACACACACACACAAAGAAGCCAGATATATTTGGCTTCTCCAGTGAAACATGGGTGTGAAAACGTGCTGTGGTATCACATCTGTTCTTGTGCAAATCTTGAACTGCAGACTGACTGCAGCTTAAAGTTGTCTGGCCATTGCTTTGTCATTAATAATCTTCGGCCATTAGAGGTTAGCTCTGGTATTGAGGGGTGTGTCATCATGTGATTTTTTTTTTTTTTTTTTTTTTTTTTTTTTGAAGTAGTTGGATCTGTCCGGGTGTAAATGGTGAGAAAACTAAGCCTGGATGGGGGGATTATAGAAGAAGGGGGCGGGGAGCATGCATGATCTGTCAAGGCTTAGTACCACAATTATCCCAGCGGCTGCAGCAGCAGCAGTCACAGCAGCAGCGGTAGCGGCGGCGGTGGTGGCAGAAGCTGCATTTTCATTAGTGTAATGTCCAGAGAAGCTCGAGAATTATGTAAGAGTGACGTGTTGTTATCCCCTCTCGGCCAGCCCACCTCCTGGCAGGAACGTGGCCGTTTGTTTTCCTTTCATCCTCGTTCGCTTGGAAAAGCCAAAAGGACATCTGTGGGAGTCAGCGGTTGAGGACAGGACCCTTAGTGGTCACGCCGCGGGAACCGCGCAGCACTGGACGCTCAATCTGTGGCTCAGTCTCCTGGAGAAAGTGATGCACTGAGGCGCAAGAACAGACAAGTTTGATGATGCCAAAGGAGATGAGTAGACACTCATCACTTCAGGTTGGGATCAGGGAGTGTAGCAGCAGTTAGTGATGAGGTCCATGGGATGTTGATAAAGGAGAGTTAGAAGATGAAGTTTAAGAAGTTCATCACGATCATGCAGGCAGCGATGGGGATTGTACCCTTAAACAAACGGGAGCTGCTGCCACCAGGCAGGAAACTGTGGAGACCCCCAGGGTGAGTTTGATTACCGTACCATACCGGTACTTGTATTGGATGTTTCCTTCTAGAAGATGGATTTTTATATCCTGCTGTTGCAGTTCAGTGGGGGAAGCAACAGATTTCTGAAGAAAAACAGTTTGGTGGTCATGCAGATAATTCTATTGTTAGTAGTTTCCCAAGCAAGAAGGAAGGCAAAGGTATTTTATTTCATTCACACAGCACAGAAACTGTGTTTCAGTTACTCACCATAATCCTTAAAGGCAGAAATCTGTGAGGCAAATATATCAACATTGTGACCATCTGGGCCACTAGCTGCCACGAGGAAGGGGGAAGAATCGGACAGGTGGATTGTAAACACAATGCATGACACATTCTTCTCACTACAGAGAGACACAGTGATGTAATGTGGAAAGTAATTTTCTTTTAAAGAAAGACGCGTTTGTGTTGTGTCCTGCATTTGGCAGGAAATGTTTTTCTTTTTAAAACTTTGTTTAAAATCATTGTTATGTAGTCTTTTTTTTTTTTTTTTTTTTTTAATTTTCAATAATTACTTATCAACAAATTGCTTCAGTTTAGTATTTGCTTTATTTACCAGCCTCAGTAATTATTACAATACACTATTCTTCCAAGTTAGACTCACACACCTCGACTCGAGCAGCGACCCATAACAAAGGGGGTCAGGAGTAACAATTACACATTATCGCCCAACCCTAATGTGGAACCCCACCCAGGCTACAACTATTGTAGCAGCATTTTCAGCCTCTTGCCTTTTACACTTCAAAGAATTTGTTATCGTTTGTGTCATGACAGCCAAATCATCACCACTGTCCCCAAACAGTTTAAAGTTGATTAAAGTTTCAAAGTAGAAACCTCCTCATCCTCTGTCTTTGTAGCTTTTTCTCCTGCATATGTTTTGATACATTTCAGTTTGTCATGCAGAGCGACTAACTTGCTTTATTACCCCATTAGTTTGTCATATATATATATATATATATATTTTTTTTAATTATTCATAATTATGTAGGTCTTCGTGTGTGCGCACAAACTTGTTCACTTCTTACACTCGACACTACTTTCTGCATCCAAGATAATCTAACTATAACAACAGGATTAAATAATCAAACTAATGCTTGTCACATTAATGACAAATCTGTGGAAAAGTAGAGTAATAAAAATACTTACAAGCTTTAATAAAAGCAGGCCCTAAACAATGTTACTTCTGTGAGCTACGTCACCCTCAAGTATCAGTTTTGTAGCTGCAACTGAGGGAGGTATACTTGAAATATTCTTGATCCCAAGGTTATTGAGCAATTCATGTTTCAGCCATAATTACCTCCACCCAGCAGATTATGTGATTGGTTCAGTTTATCTCTCTGTTTGTCTGTCTGTTAGCAGGATTACTAAAATATTATGGACAGATTTGCCATTTCAACATTTTTTTTTCATAGGTGGGGCTTGGTCCAACGTAGACATAATGAACTTTTGGGAAGGATCCAGATCTGATTGAAATTTAAAAAAAAAAAAAGGAGACACTGATGATTCCAGGAAGGGATCAAACCAATCTCAAATGAATCCAGTTCTAGATATGCTTCTGGATCTAGCAAGTCAATTCAAGCATGGTGTAGGAAAAAATGAAAAACCATGATATTGCTCTGTAAGTTCAGATGCACTGTCAAAACATCATGACAATACTTTCAATTTGTTTGTCACAAGTGCTGCTGAAGTTTGCTTTGTTTTCTTTGTGTTTCCTTTGTGTGCTACGCAATAAAAGCCATGTTAGGTTTTACTGGTTGAAATCTTTAATATTAATATGCAGCAATTACTTGGAAGCAAGCCGGCAAGCAGTAATCATTTACAGGAATGAGTCACAAAGTCCCACACAGAAGACAAACCAAAAGGAAAACAAAAAACAGAAGAGGATCAACAGAACAAATGCTTCCTTTTTTATCAGTTTTTGGAGCATGTGGAAGCAACATGAAAATGCATTATAAATTTGGAATATAGAATGCAAGTAAATGCAAACTGTTGATTTTGAGCTGTAATTTGAAAAGAAAAAACAAAACAAATTGGAGAGGTGACTTTGATTCTTTTCCCCAAATGAAATCATTTATGAAGAATGTTTTGAAATTGTTTTGAATGGTTATAGCAAATAGGATGTTTTTGGAGCGTGGCTCATACTAGGGATTAAAATGGTTTGGCTTTCTGTTTTACATTACCCTCTGAGTATCCTGCTTTTAGTAGTAACATAATTATAAATGCCAGGATAAATATCCATGAGCTTGTAGGAAGTGAGGTACTAAAATATCTAAATGCCCTTTTAATGTAGTCGCTCATAGAGTAATGAAGTGCAGAGCAGACTTCGGTAGGAAGTCAGTGGAGACACCACCAGTGTTTTTATCCCCAGGCACGCTTCATGTCTTCCCGGAAATACTGAGCCCCTCCTTTTGCATCCACAGAGTGTTTTTTTTTTTTTGTTTTTTTTTTGAAAGTGTAACGCTTCAGGTTTGGTCACGCAGAGGAAATCTGGTTTCTTCCCTCTCTGTACAATAATGTGATATCTGACTTTATCCACTCAGATCATCTCAGTGTGTTTGACACAATGCCATGAAGCTGGGGATGGGTGTTCACCATATGTTTAGACATGCTGCTTGTGATCAATGGCAGAGACGCTTAAAATGAGACTTGAGATGAGTTTGATAATAGTCTGTTATCTGTGTCAGCCTGGTCTTCTGGTGAGTCTGGTTTAACTGTGTCATGCACCAATGAGAAACATGTGGCTAATTCTATTAAAGTATCCGTCATATTATATACTCTATATCATTTCGATTTGCTTTTGATTGCCCTTAACATTTTTTAAGATAATTTTTAATCTTGCTATATTAGGATCTGCATAAAGCCCCACCCACCTGCTCTTCAAACGAGGGACAGCCAATCAAAAGAAGGATGGCTTAACAGGAGAAGGAGAATGAGGGAGAAGGTGGATTACGTCCAAATGTCAGAAAAATATGGATTATTTTCAACTAAAGTCATGCAAAACTACAAGTCGAGCCCAAGAAGAGGTTTTTCCTCCATAATTTGTTTTAAAGTCTCTTATTTAATGTTGCCTGCAAACTGTGTAAAAGACTATAAATGAACATGTCTAGGAAACGTGTAAAGCAATTACATAACTCCGGAATGTTCAGAGAGCCTTATTCTTTTTATGCTGTATAAAAATAGACCTCTCCGCCTGGTGCGAAGCATCTCTTGACACCTCACTTGGACAACATGATTTTCTGAGTCATGCCCATTTAAATATTTCAGACTATTCAACAAATCGCTATGTTTTAAGGTCAAAGCATCCTCTAAAGAAATAAATCTACTCCTCTTGCTGCCCTTTAGACAAAGTGCCATACAGTGAACGTTTTAAATAATCCCTTTTCATTATGGTAACACTGCTGGTTATGTTTGTAATATTGTGTTTCTCTTATGTGCTCAGGGATCAGCCTGGCTCTGACCAGACCAGCACTGACCTCCTCAAGTGCAGCAGAAAGTTCTGCTGGTCCAGAGAAGCCCAGTACTTGTATCTTCGCCGCCTGTCTTCACGCAGCTTCTCGGCTATTATGATGGTACGTCTTTTACATAAACGTCCACGCTGTATCTGATTTGGCCTCGAGTTATGTGATATTTTTTTGTTTTCCTTTCTTCACTAACACTACCTTGTGGATTGTGCCTTGTACCTGGTACTTTTTTGGTATCGAATGCAATAGGTTGAGAGTCTTCCGTGAGCTAAGCCAAGAAAAAAGGCGAGGACCGTCACTCGGCCATCGTGTGTGACAATTGTGGCGTACAACATTAAAACTAACATTTTTAAATGACTATGCTAGGACTGGTTCAGATACTCAACTGTTTGAGCCTAATCTCTACCCAGTGTCCAGTCTCTTACTGAACTGAGTACACAGTTCTGAGCTTTATTTTTGCTTTAGTTTCAGTTTGGTTTATTCACAAATCAATCAAAATATACATTCCAACATGATAGTCTATATGAGATGGTTATTTGTGAAATGGTGCTTTCTAAAAGCTATCCTCAACTTATAAATAGGGGCCAAAACATCAGATAATATACAGCAAATACGTATAGAATTACCAATGTACTGTAAATAACCTAGTCACTACAATATCCTAAGGTAACCTTAAAGATCCTAACATATAACTAACACTATTACACTAACCATCCATTAATACACTAACACACCAATACCTCTAGCTAGTTTCACATAAAGTGTAAATCTCAGGTAGAAAGCCAACCAGAATTTAAAATCTTTCCCTTCAAATCTTGGTGTTTTTGTTTTCTCGTATTATATGTGTGAGAAGGATGATATATTGGATAAGCTCACAAAGTCTTTTGTTAAATGTAAATACTACTCTATACATAGCACAGGCATTGTGAAAGATGTTATATTCTTTTAAATTTAGAGGT